TTTTAGATACTACATAAGAAGCAAGAAACTTTGTAGTTGGAAGCCTATAAGTCAGAGCATATTATTAAGCATTTTAATTTTTACTCTCATACATATTACGAGCACAGTAGTCAATTTTTAAAATAGAAAAATGTTTATAGTTTGAAGTTATTAAAAAAAAATTAGTTTCATTTCAATTTGAACTAAAAATGGGAAATAGTAGTTCAAAATCATTTACAAAGAAAAAATAGAATAACATCCTAAATTTTTCAAAATAGGTGTAATATATTAAGCAAAAAAAAAAAAAAATCTGAAATAAATTCAATGTAATGTCCTCTAAATATTTCTTGTTACCTCACTATTATTTTATCGACAACTACACTGTGTTACTGTATATGGGGTATTTTGTTAAACACAATTATTGAAAAATATAATAACAACAGTATAAGTATACAAAAAATAATTATTATTCCCTTATTTAAAATCGCTAAGATATTAAGTCAAAATAGTTTTTTAATGAAATTTACGTTGAAGTTCACAGAGTAAATCGTCGGGATAACTATATGATGTGGTTAAACTCTGTGGGAATACAACTCTGACCAATTTCGCGGACCGAGTCAATTAAAATGTCTTACTAATATGTATATTATATTAAACGCGGAGGATAAAAGTTGTAGTTCAATCGATTCTCTGAAATGAGCCGAAAAACATAAACCTATACATTGTTTTCAGAAAAAAAAAGACAATAAAAAAAATTAACATATTCAATTTGTTCCAGCGCTACAGTAATTGGCTATAAAACACTTGGGGAAAAAACGTTGGGCAACAGACAATTGGTCTTTTTATACAATGGTCGTTAAATCAAGGTATGTACGCGCGATGTACCTATCTATGTCTGGTTCTGGTATATATGCACCACATCCCACATTGCAGCTATATTATCGGTCTTATATATACATCCCTATCCTCATTTAGTCCGTTGCCTGCAAACAATGATAATCCCATGGGGTAAATTTATACTTTTCCCAATCTTCAGCGATATTTATAGTTAAGAAAACAACTATAATATACTGTGCTACAAAGAACACGCGATACGGCTGTTGTAATATTGTGAATTACTAACTATAATTTCTATGATAGGTCGCTAATGGCACAATAAAAAAATTTAAACGATAAGTTATTATACAATATTTACAAATGCTCTCACGTTAAAATCGTTTAAAATGTTTCGATACATACCTACAACAACAACTGGTACATTTTACATTTAAATATTATCTCATTTAAATATCAAAATTCGAATAAGCTTTCCTGCAAAATTTGCAGAAAAATTGCGCAAAATAATTGAAAAATTGAATATTATATTAAAATACATAAGTATTACTGCAGTTCTAATTTTGAAAATTAAAGTATAATTAATTCAAAGAGTATATAAATTCGTCGCTGAAACGGTACGGCGAGATCGAAATTACTTTTAGCAACGTAAAAATGAATTTTATTATTATTATTATTTGTTTTTAATATTTCAACGTTTTTATTCGTTTTGTACGTAAACCTTCTAAAAACTTTTTCGAGTATTAAATTCGCGCAAAGTCAAACATGTATTTTAATATACTAAGCATTTTGAAATGAACGTATTAAATTTGTTTTTACAACGTTGTAAATTTAACTTTTTTACATTACAATAAATATTTTTAATTATATTATGGAGTTTTCCTTGTGATTTTGTTGAATATAGTCGTGTATTCAATTTGTTTTATTTATACAATCCGTAAGAAATAGGTACTTATGCAACGTACAATAAGTAAATTAAATCCCGTACCAAGTAACGTTTGGTAAAAATATTGTTTTTACATATTGCATAGAACAAAATGTATTAAATTATATAACATTTATTCGTCATAAATTATTTTGTTAATAACTGTACCTACGTTTTTACCAAAAGTACTAAAGTACTAAGATAGCTGCAGACAATTCGTTTTGAGCCTTAGAGGCGATTTTCTTTATAGATTTATCTAAACTGAATTTAAATTTAAATATATACTTTATCTACATTCCATAATAGTTTATATACTTATTTCTCTGTACACGTGAGTAATGAAAATATGTTTTCGTAATAGTAATCATATTATACAATTTTAACGATCTTCTTTTTTCGGAAGTCTCAATCAAACACCATCATTATTGCAATTCGCAATTTCACATCCGTATTTTATCAGGATACGTACAAAATATATAAAACGCTGACTCAGTAAATATGTTTCTATACAGGAATTCGATAAGACAAATAATATATTCACGGATGATGAGACTTAAATTTAAGCAATCATACACCGATACATGTGTTCATAAAATTGAATGAAATTGTAACGAATGGTTTTTCACTCTTTTGCGTCATATACCTACTTATATAAATGATTTAATGCTTATATGACGGTTAACAACACCCAAGAGGCGCATATTATGATCTGCGCAGTCACATTATTGGCTAATATTATATAATAATAAATCTATTTATATTATTATATGGACTAAAATATATACCTACGACACAATACAGCATAATATAATACTACAGCCGGCAATACATTATTTCGTGAGATTTTCACGCGTGTATAAACTTTTGCTATACTTTTATTTCGGGACAATATAGAATTTAAAGACTACAGCACACACTTAAAAGATACAATATGTGTTAATATACGTCCAGAAATTTATTTCAGGTACTCTTATAGTTAATGGTGATTCAATTCAGTATATTTAATAATAAAATGAGTATACCTACTATTAGTATCTACATAATTACACATTTTTAACAGGCATATTATATAATATAAGTAATACTTATTACTTATTAGGTATATATATAATATAATACACAGTATACCTACACATTATATTACATGATGTGTAATATTATATTTGTGAAATATGTAAATCTTTTATTTTTACAATAAGCACAAATGAATTTTATACGGTTAAATTAGCTACATTTTGTAAATACTAAGAAAATTTGAGAGAAGAAGCCATCCATCTAGTGATTTGTAGATAGACGGATTAACTGAATAAAGTGATCGTCAAATTTCTGGTGAAACTTAGAAAAATTTCGCTAGAAATTCATAAGTTATAAATACTGCTTATGGAGATAATGCTTATATGACTAATTAAACATCAAACGTATGCTATTTAATCGAAGGATGACTGTTTGTATGGTAGTTATAACATGTTGACATTGGAAAGTCATCTATGGACATAATTTTAAAAGAAAACTTAGAACAGAAAAAATTTTCCCTAAGTTGTTTTTGACATTCAACTAAAAGTTGAGACAAAAAAAATGCTGCAATAACAACACTTGACCCCCCCCCCCCCATGTTCTCCAGATTTAGTCACCTGGGGTTTTTTTTTTTTTTATTCCCAAAATGTAAAATGGTCATTAGGATACAACATTGGAATGACGAGGCACTGAGGCAACTGAAGAGTTTAAATTCTCAGGACTTGATCCATAAAAACGAAGATGGTATAAGTGTATTGCTATGCGAACGGAGAGTATTTTTAAGAATATAAAATCGATGTATAGCAAATTATGATAAATACATTTTATTTTCAAAGTTCGTGTATTTATTGGACGTACTTCTTGGATAAAAAAATAAAGTTGGGTGGGTTTACAAAAAAAAAAACTCACGACACTGATACTAGTGAATAGTGCTACTTACATTCCAAATATATAAATAGATAATAATCTTCATTAAAGGATTCTAAATGTGCAACCTCATTCCAAAAGAGGCTCATTTGAACGAAAAGAAAATATTTCATTAAAAATGTTGGTAATATAATTATTTTTGTGAATTGTAATTTGTAATTTATAAAAATATTTTATGTCTATTAGATATTTATTATTATTATTATATTATACTAATAATAGTATTAATAATCTTATATAACGGGCCATTATTTATCTGATTATCAACAATATTGTGTCCTTACTATTTTTTGCAATTATTTTTTAACATTTTAAAAATTTCGTACATACTACATATTATTATTCTTTTCGTTTGCGGCGGTCTCGCACGCCTCGCAGATAACATTATGTGGACGACTTCTCAGGATAGGCTTTTGTTAGTTCTGTAAATGTTCGTACTTGGCTAACATTTTTACAAGACGAACGAGTCACGAATTGGTTTTCAATGAGAATTAGTGCGTAAATCTTTTATTCGTGGACTTTCTCGTAGAATTTGCGGAGGCGCACAGCGATTGAATTTGATCAAAAAGAGGACAACATTAACTGAAAAGTTTGGCAACCACTCGTTGGTCTATATTATAATTATATATATGTATAGGTATATATATATATATATATATATATATATATGCCATAGCCTCTAGAGAATTAAATTAACCATTGTGCATAATAATATAATTACAGAATAGACTATATAGTGGAATTATCAACGATACCTTTAGAGTTTAGAGTTTTACAATCTTCGCGATTTGTAATAGTTTAGACTTTTTTTTATTTTTTTTTCGTTCTCAAATCCATCTCGTCTTTTTTTCTGTCGTTTATGTATTCAAAATCTTGAAAAAAAAATTGAATACAAGTTTATACACGTTCTACTCTCCAATTCCGTATAATCTCAAATTTGTGTTTGATCCACGAGTAAAGATTCAGTATGTATCTACGGTCCGTTGTCCGACTGCAACTATGGTTCTAGGTTCTATGATATCAGTCCGTGTCCAAGAAATATCTCATATAAGCTATGTGCTGCTATCTATAGAATTCAATTATAATTAGTAAATTTATTTTTATTCATTAATATGAATTTATGGATAACACATCATTTATTTTGAGAAAATATTTATTTTGAACGTTGATGTTAATTAAAACTTATAAGTCACTATTTATTTTCATTCGAATCCAAAATTTGTCAAGAATATAATATTATTACATTTTTGCTATAACAGTGATAATAATAATATTGTTATCATATTTATCATAAATCATAATAACATTATCATAAACACCCGTTAATAAATCAACATTGTCCACTATAAAGACGTGTTTAATAGTTACATTTGACAATGATATTATTTACTATTTAGTATTTACTCTCAAGTCTCAATAAAGAATACAAACATCAACACTGACAAGAGTACCTATTCAAGACGGCATATCAATAGTAACGCGAACATGGAATCTAGTACTAAAAAGTGAGTGAGAAAATTGTGTTATATTTTGTTAAAATAATATTTCGAGGTGCAATACAATAGATCAGTCATGTTAAACGTAAAGTACTAACTGAACCAAAAATAAGGAATAGAGCACTATGCAGACTGCACAAAAAACTTGTCAAAAAATAATAATAACCAGGGCTGTGAATTTATAGGAAAGTGCATTTTTTTTTGGTGATTGAAAACATAGCTTTGTAAGTACATAATTTGAATTATGTAATTACGAATCAATCTATGAAACTTTTATTTTGCATATTTTTGCATTATTTGACGTTTTTAATTTTTTAGGTCATATTTTGCTTTTTTTAGTTCATTTTCTAGTATTTTTAACCAAATTCTGTCAATTAAGTTGTTTGAAAACTTTTTTTATTTTACACAGGCTGTATATATTATGTCAATTTTTTTTAACTTTTTTATCAAATAAACACTTATACTAATATTTAATATCCTGTAACTAATATTTATATAAATATAAACATTAAATTAAAAACCATTTTAAATTAATTTTATACTATAATTTTTGGCATTTTATATTCCTTTTTTTGCATTTTAAGTGCATATTTTGCATTTTTTTGGCATTTTTTAAGATTTTTTAGTGCATTAAATTCACAACCCTAATAATAACACTATACAAATTGTATAACAATATTATCACCTAGAAAGTATCTGTTCATTATGAATATGATATGAATATTATAATTTAATAATGAATATAATATAATTTATGTATACTAAAATATATCTCACTCACATAGTTTCAATACAAAATAAAAATAGTATTTATTTCTTATTTTTTGGTCAAAAACAAAAAAAAAGTATTGAGGACTGTGTGTTTGAGATGCCTATTATAGACGAATACTAATTTTGTATTATTAATGATATCATGATAGTTAAATTCATATTTGGCAAATTGATACCTTATCACAAGGAATAGCAAAACCTTTAGAGAATATATTCTTTATGGATGTATTTTTTTTCTTTCTAGGTATGGATTAATTGTGCCTAAAAAAATAACAGATGTTCCGAAGAGGATTACTAATGTGTTCGGCGATGATAGTGACTCTGATTCTGAAAAACCAAAAAAACCTATTCAAGTATTTATCAATATAATATCAATTTTTATAATTATTTATAAACAAAATAAAATTTCTGTGTTATTACAATCAAATATTTCAATTTTTTTTTTTTTTTTTGATTCACATTAATTCTTCAAAAATTAAATTTAACTGAATACATAGTGTACACAAGTTTATGAGCAACTAATTTCCCATTCTAACATTACATATTATAAGTTATAACTATAATTATGTATTAATAATATGAAATGATTGTATTCAATGAAACACAGTAAAAATCTAAAATTAAATATACGTATATAATTTTCATATTAAATAACACAACACAATTTCTTTAATTTATTGTTATTTGAATAACTTAGTAGTTATTGTCTATATATATTTGAATCAAAATTATGTTATATTGATAGTTATTTTATTTTTTTGTTTAAATACAAATTTAATTTATTTCTTACATTTTTAGACCAATAATCAAACTAAAGCTCAACAAAGAAGTGCACAATTATCTATTGACAAGGCACTCAAAGAAGACGCAACAGTATTTCAGTATGATGAAGTCTATGATGACATGGAGAAAAAAAAAGAACATCATATTGAAAAAAAGAAAGATTTTAAGGTATGTGTAATACAAAATTACAAGTATTTTTTTAAACTACCCATTAATTTTGGTATTACATTTTAGCCACGATATATACAAAATTTATTAGTGCAAGCTGAGAAACGTAAGATTGAATATGAACGTAGAAATGAAAGGATAATTCAAAAAGAAAGAGAAGCTGAAGGAGACCAATTTAAAGACAAAGAAGCATTTGTCACTGCTTCATACAAAGCAAAACTGGAAGAGTTAAAAAAACTGGATGAAGAAGATTTAAAATTTACTATGATTGAAGACATTAATGATGTTACAAAACAAAAAGACATGGGTAGCTTTTATAGGCATCTGTTTAACAAAGAATTATGCAAGAATGAAAGTGATAAAATCGACGAAATGAAAAAACCAACTAAGAAATCTGATGCTAGTCGACAATATAGAAAACGTGCTTCTTCAAATACTTCAGATGATGATAATAATGCTAATGATGTTAATGATGATGATAGAGATACTGACATATCAGATTCTGATTCGTCTGTGGATTCAAAACGCAGAAAAATTGAAATTGATGATAACAAATCTAACCTGAACGAAATTGTCAATAAACCTGAAGTAAAATTAGAAGAGTCAACCATTGAGATAATAAAAGTTGATGTAAATGATTCATCTAAGATAGAAACAAAACCAAAACCAAAAGAAGAAACTATAGAGGTACCTAAAGACAAAACAGTTGAGAAAAATAATAGTAAGCCAAAAGAAATTAAACCCAAAATAAATATTTGGTTAAAGAGGACGGTTGGTAATATATTTGAAGAAGCGCGTCAAAGATATTTTCAAAGACAAATGAAACAAACTAATTTACAATATGTTAGAACTTAGATATAACATTATTTATTTTGTTATTAAAAATATGCATAAGATAAACTAAAGTACAAATATATTTCTCATTCAAATATATTATTGTATTTTATTTATAAATGCTTTTTTTTTATCATAAAATAATTTAATACAAAAAATACACAATTATAAACATTTAAATAAACAAATTTTGATAAAAATACAATAATAAATGGCAAATGTATAATTATCACAGTAGTTTTAAAATGATGGCATATTAATAGAAATTACCCTGTAAAATGATATTTATAATCTACAATAGGATTTGTGATAAAAAATAATATTTATAATATAAAATTTTAAAAAAATATATGTGTATAGGAACATTATTACAATGCAAACATGATTTTACTTAAAAATATATTATGTAGCTATGATAAATAATTAAATTTGATAATCTGAGTAATTTTAAATATAAAAAGAAGACAATACATAATTTTATATTAATAAATGGTAATGAGAAGTTTTTATAAACTATTTTTTTCTTTTCTATCTGTATAAAAATAAAGACTTTGAAAGTACATAATTTATAAATATTTAATTCAAACTTTTCTAATCGTACAAATATTTCTGTTACATATAATAATAGTAAAAATAATATTTGCGATAAGAAAATCAAATTATATTATAAACATTGAATATATATAAGTATATCACAGACAAAAGTTTGATTTACTTTTAAATTTGTGTTGTCTTCTTAATTTAATAAAAATGTCATTAGAACTTAAAAGTATTAATATTAATGTTTACACAAGATTATTTATTAAGCATAGTGATAATTTAGTGGTAGAATAATTGAAATCACTATTCTACCACTAAAGATCAAAAGTACTTAATGAATCCCCTTGTATATAAAAAAATAAAATTTAATACAATATTAAAGTTCTGTAGAATTGTTAAAAGCTATTACACATTCTCTGCTACACAAAGGCCGCTTTTCCTTTTTAACAGTAAACTTTTTACCTAACAATGATGTGTAACACTGATAACATTTAAAGCATGCAGGAGATTCGTGCCAGCTCAACTCTTGCCAGCCAATTCTGTTTTCACCAGCCACAATAATATTATGACAGGTTTCACATTTCTAAACAAAATTATAAAAACTCATTTAAAAAACGCATTGCACTTTGAAAGTATTTTAATAACTAATGTACATACTTTTCCATATTTATTTTGGTAACAATCCAAACAAACCGGTTGTTTTTCAATTGACACATATTCTAATCCAGCTAATGGTTTGTCACATTCAAAACAACAAAAATGTCGAACATGGTAGGTGTGATCTTCAGCAATTGTATACTCTTTCAAAAATATCAACTGGAAAAAAAAAAATTATAATTTAATGATTACCGTGGAATAAAAATGTCAATTATGTAAATACTATCTCACCTCATCACAAGCATTACATCGTGGTATATTTAAGATTTCAGCATAATGTCTACCACAATAAACATTCCCATCATAGTAGAAGTATACTAGATCAACTAATAATTCCTATACAAAAGAAAAAAATGTTATAACATTAAAATATTAGTCGAATATTTAATAAGTTACCTCGCATGTAGTACAAACAAAACACGATGGATGCCAAAATACTTCTTTACCAGTGCGTTCAGCCATAACAGCAACTTGACCAGGTATTACATTCTTATTACATTGTTTACAACGCAATTCTTTGCCAGCAGAAAAAATATCAGCATGGGATGTTGTGAATTCATTTGAACCTTCCCAGAGTGGATTTTTTAATGATTCACCAATATCTTTATCGTGTAGCACAGGTTTGTAATTGTCATTCTGAATATTTGAGGAGAAATTTGTCTGTTGTTGGGGTAAAGTTGCTGATACAGCAATGTTTGAATTTGGCCTTTGTGAAGTAATAGTTTGTCTGTTACATTCAGCTGGATTGTTATTAACAGTGTCTAAAATATTGACTTCTGGTTTAATGCTTCCAGAATAGTTTTTGTTCCCAATAAATGAACTCGGTGTTTTTAATTCAGTATTTGACAACGGATACAAAAGTTCTGGAGGAGGAGGAGGAAATTCTTCTTCTTCGAGCGGTTGATTATAACTTTTTTTAAATGGTTTTGGTGTAAGATTCATATTTTTAAACAATGGAATTGGATGATTAGTGTTATCAGTAAGTTTTTTGACCAAGCCTTGACCAACAGCATTCTCTTTTAAATTTTTTAAATAAGAACCCATAGCATCAGCTTCTTCAACAGTAAGATTATGACAAACATTTGCATTAAAATCATGTAAAGGAACTTGTTTTTCTAGCTGCTTGCGTCTGTAAAAAGCTCCTTCACTACCACTAATAGGTAATTTGTCAGATGGTAACAACTGCATGTACTCTGAAGCTAGATCTTTATGAACATTGGGTGGGACCCAATCGAATTTAAATTCATTTTTGTTTTGATCAGTTTCTTGTTTTTTTATAAGTTGATCATCAGGTTTAATAATCATATTCAACACTGAAATAAAATTATTAAGCAAATTAAATACATATTTATGTATAAAACTTTTTATTTTAAATACTATACCTGCTTTTATTGGTTGGTAATTTGATTTTGAATCGTTAAATAAAATATCCAACTGTTTATATTGATCTTCATCTACAATATTATGTTCTTCTTTTTTACATTTACAATTCAAACACACTTTTCGCCAAAAATGTAAATCCAAGCCAGGACAAGCATCTCCACATTTTAAACAATTTGAACCAGATCCGACTTCATGAGCTAATTTATGATACTGAAAAATCAAGTAATTATTTATATAATATATAATAATAGATTAAATATCATTATTAAATATGCAAATGCCAGGTAATTTTTCACTGATAAATTATAAAAATGAAATATTATTTAAACATACGTGCCTATACATTTATGTTATACTAAAAAAGATTATTAACTTGAGTTGATTAGGCGCTTAAATTACTATTACTGTAGGTTGGTGGTATACGAAATACAAAAACCACTTTAATCGAATCCACAATGAAATGATAAACGTGAATATTGTAGGTACTTACTTTTTTGTGTTTATTTTCCAACCTCGAAACCCATTCGGGTGTCTTAAAGTGTTCTTCCGGTTCCAAAGCCATTGTCCGGTGTGATATATCGTGTAAACCGATTTTTTGCTTTTCGTAAGGCTTAAGAGAATATTGAAGCTGTGAAGAAACGACAAATTTGTTCGATGGAATATCGTACTATCGTCGTAAAAAATTAGTGCAATTTTTAACATTCACGCACGGAAAAAAACGGAAGCCCAGTGACGATGACGAAACAATGAATCATCGTCACAGCATTGAAGTATTGAACGTCGAACGTGATGTATGGTCATAGCAGATTAAGTTTATCGAAATATAATGAGTGGAAGAAAAAACGAACGAACGGGGGCGATACAATAATGAATGTCGTATTGATACTGTATAAAGATTGTATAGAAACGTATATTGTTATTGAGTTGTTTGCACACCTCCCGTGTGGAGATGACGTCAACGATGAAGAATTTCAATGTGAATAAACAAAACCGAGTGCCCGGCGACTTGAAGACTGGCGAGTCGGGTCGGGGACACGGTAAACAGAAGGGGAGAGAGACGAACGCGGAAAGACACAATTGTAAAACCGCCTCACTGCGAGGCACGAGCTTAGTGCAATAGTGCGGTGCTCAATAGAACGGGTAATGTTTTATTGACTAGCGTTTAAACAGTCCTAAGCGGCTAAGCCTAACTGTCAACGTCAAGTGCCAACTGGCGAATGACGAATTTCGGTCTTCGGATTTACTATTTAATGTTTACATTACAATTTATTTTGTTGTTCGTTACGACCGTACGGCCGACGAAGACTAGCAAGTGGCGAGTGGCGACCGGCTTCGAGGCCGATAAGGAGATATAATTAATAAATGATAAAATTGATAACGTACAGTTACGTACTCGTTAGTCGTTAAATAATACAATATAGTCCAACAGTCGTTACTCGTTCAGTGTTCAGTTTCAGACCACGGTTAAAATTGAAATTAGAACAGTCATGACCAAGCGCGGCCCCAAAGCAATTATTAAGGGAGGAGGGTTTTTATATTTTTCAATAATTCTAAAACGTTACAAGTATTTCTATAAATATTTCAACTGAAAATTAAAAAAAAAAAAAACTAAATGGGTAGATTGAAAAAAAAAAACACTTTAAAAGAACAATTCGTGATACACTAATATACATATTATACAGATAACATATTCGCCCGGTATCCGTCATTCGACACTAGTGTTTATTTTAGGGGTGACCGGGAAGGAATATCCCCTCCCCGGAGAAAAATATAAGACAACGTTAACTAACAATTAAATAAAAAAAATATTATGCTAGAGGTTATGGGTTGTATTGGAGGCTATTATTCATTAATTGAGGTCACTTCTTATGTGAACAAAAACTACAAAAATAATTGTGTTCCTATGCAATTTAGATTTATTTTTACTTCTCTCCAATATTTGATCTTATCAGTTATCTTATTGAACCCCTTTGAAAATTTACGATACCCCCCGAATAGAAGATCTGAAATAAACACTGGTCGGCGCGATTAGAAATTACCGAATTATAAATAGAACTATCCGCAAAACAATGTATTTATTATTATTTAATGCAGGTACTTAAACTTAAAAACAACACCCGAAATTTTAATTAATATTTATCATCGTTTGACATATAATTAATAAAATAATTCAATTTTTTTTTTCGTGACGTTTGAAGAGGGGAGCATCGCTACCGAGACTTCCCTTGTATCCATGTCGGGTCAAGGCTTATATAGGTAGATTGATAAGATTTTAATCCTTGGGTCAAGATTCAGATTGTAGGGGTCAACGCTTCATAGCACAAATTAATATACCATAATATTAAATATATTAATATGTATTTATCCTTGGACCACCGATAGATGTTAGGTAAGTAATAAACTAAGAAATGAAGAAGACGTAGTACACGCTTGTGGTTATTAATTCCTATTAAGTAAATACCTTTACACGGATTTACTTAAATACGGGAATTATTTTTATTTACTGACGACTAAATTATAAGTAAAGTCTGCAAGTATAAAATTGGAACGTGTGCAAACGAACAAACAGAAAAAAACCCATTATTGCAGTTAGATTAGATTATTGTCATAACTCATGTCATTCTGATCCATTAATAAATTGTCTAGGGATATACTATATAGACTCACTCGGGGTACCTGTATTAAGTCATACGACTATACTTGTAATAAAAATAATTGCAATTCCTACTTACAAAATTTAAAGTCAAGAATGTGATAAACACAAAATTCCACTAGAATAAAATACGATAAAACTTCTATCATGCTGTTAAAACCATAAATCGTGATTAAGAAGATAGAAATAATTTTAAATTATACATTTGAAAGTCTTTTAACAGTTAGTGAACTTTATAATAGTTATCTAGAGCTTAGAGGTAGGTACCTATGAGCTGGCGCACCGCGCGCACGTATACCTATATTAATAAGTATATATTTCGGAAGTTCACGAGTAAAACGATTTTTAAATTAATTACATAGGTACTACATAGTTAGTTATAGTAACAAAAACAAATATAGGTGCGTACAGTTAAGTAGTAAACTCCTTCCTCCCCAAGATTTTAAATACGTATCGGCGGATTTTCTATAGCTATGGTGAATGGGAATAAATTTATATTAGGTATTGATAATGATAAATGTTAAATGGATATTTTAATGTGGTTGATTTTAAACTCTGGTCGGAGCGATGAACGTAAAGGTTTGTCGTTTGTGTCTAATGTTATCTACCTTGTCTAATAATGATGTAAAAATGCTCTCATCTTCAATTCTAGAACTTGATTTTTGGTAACTAATTGAAAATAAATAGTACGATGAACGGAGAGCAGTCAAAAGTATATAAGTATATTATTATAGAGTAAATTAAGTAGATGGATTTATAATTCAGTTAAATACTTACTTATTTAATATTTAATAAGTTAAAATTTTTTTTTTTTTTGGTATTTTTTAAAATGATCAAGACTTAGCAAAAAACAGTGGTTAAACGGGAATGTATTAAATCAATGTCAATTTTCAACAAAATCGATTTCATTGTACCTATATCAAAAATGAATAATCGTAGAATTGGTATAGGTGTGCTAGTATAAGTTAAATGTTGACGATAATGACGTGATTATTATAATATAACATACTTGTATGATTATTAATATTTTAGAGGTAATACACTTATCTTACATACCTGAACGATTTATTCTTGCTAAAAATTATTCAACCACTTCTACAAACACGTTTTCCTAGCAAAAAAAAAAATAATTACTAATAAGCAATAGCTAATAGTAAAATAAATAATAAAATATTTTTTAGAATAGAAACTGGCATTTCATTGTTTCAGCTTAGAATAGTTTTTTATGTACAATGATGCATTATCAAATTCAAATTTTTACACATAAATCATTACCGTGAAATACTCAATTACGACGGGCGAGGTACCTATACTTTCACTTATTGCACACATTATACTCTCAAAATCTACCAACATAGTAGAGCAGAAACTTTTTTTTATTTTTGGGAGCATTAGTATAGATACTATTAGATATTTTGTATTTGTTACATATTTATTAAAAGTAAAACAATGTGTTTAGTTTGAATTTTGAAATTGTAATGATTGTAAGTAGCTATATAGTTCCATCAGGTTCTATTTAAATTGTACGCGTTTAAATTACACTCGTTTTGATTTATTAATATTTTTTTAATAACTTAAATAAAAAATATAGTAAACTATTAGAATGGATAAATATGAAAATGTAAACTTGAGTCAAAAATAAACAGATTTAATCATGAGCTATAAACTATAAAGTAAATATAATTTACTAAAATTGCAGTAAAACAAGCTTAATGTACAAAAGTATTTCCAAAAATAGAAATTATTAAAAAAGGATATACTTAAAATAAACTCAGCCATTTAGTGTTCATAATTAAATCATTTTATAATAATCTATTTATTTAGGCACATAACAAATTATAATAATTATTATTTTAAAAATGTTTGTACCTAATTTTTGAAGCATAGAACACAATATTATGTTGTATTTTAATTTTATTTGATTATATTTATCCTACTCAGATTTAATGATTAGAAGTTTGTTGATACATTATCAATAACCAAAGCTTTTAGTTTTACAAAGTATACAAAATAAAACTTTTAATTGGTTGTGTTTATTCTTATACATTGATGGGATACAACAGCGGTTCCCAAACTTTTTCAACCTCGGAGCCTTTTTTTTAAGGAGAAGTTTCTCGTGGAGCCCCAAGAAATATTTAACGTTCATATATATATTCGTTTTAAATAATTTAAACAATTTTAAAATTATTACATTTTTGTGTAATAATGAACGGAGCCCTTGATGAAATTAATGTTTTGAAAACAATATATTTTTGTTTTCATTATTTTTAGTCTTTGTAAAAAATGTTTTTATTGTAAATATTTTTTGTTTGCTTGAATAAACAACATACATAATCAATTTAAAACTATTGTTACCAATTATTAATTACTATACATTAATTTGCATAAATAATCACAATAATTTTAAACTTGTAAAATTAAATACTTTAAATATTACAATTTATTAACATTAGTTTGAGTATAAAATTTTTTTAGTAACATCGTATCAAATAGAAATAACTTTGTCTTCATCAATTTCCATTGGTTCATTTTCTGTTTTTACTTCTTCTTTTACTTCATTTGTTTGCAATTTAACCAATCTCTTTATGACTGCTAGTGTATATTTATTGTAATCACAACTGTAAAATTATAAAATTTGAATTTTTTATACTCTTCTAAATAATTATTCATAATTGTAAATACAAAATAAATGTATATAATTAAATAAAAATAGCACATAATTACTCTATCTCATTCTTATAACAACAAGAGTACATGGTATCAATGGTCATAATGAATACTTACACCTTAGATAGATCTGTAAATTTTTTAGATAAATTTTTATATAGAGTTAAAATTATGGTCTGGTGAGGTTGATGTGAGTTTAGTAGGTACATTATCCACTGCACATAAAATTCTATGTGTATTGTTGATCCTAAGAGTATTGCAATGTGTTTTGTAATTTTTTCAGCATACATTTTTGGCAATGAAACTACAGTCAGTTCAACTATAATAAAACAATGAATAAAAGACATATATAAATATTATTATCTTATTTTTCAATATTTAAAAATTAAAGTACTCACTATCTTTTGATGGAATAGATTCTAATATTTCAGTAATAAGGTTTGATTCATTGAGACGTAATGCCATCATTAATGCTGGAAAATATTAAAAAAATTTTGAAAATTCTATAGTAAAATATATATACAATTATAAATTAAACTCACCTGACGCATACTCTTTTTTAAACAAAGTATCTCTTGTTGTCTCTGTTGTTATTCCCAGTTCTAAAAGGAACGGGTCAAACATGAACCCATTATTAAGTGAATATACCAATACACCTTCTGTAGTAGCAGCTGACCATGATAAACCTAATTAAAAAAAAATGTTAGAAATATCTTAAAAATAAAAAATAAATCTTTATCAGTTATTACCCGTTGGAGAAAACTTGACATCAAAAACATTAACTTCTGGCTTAAATGTTCTTGCAGCCAAATCACCTTTATGAACACCAGGTAATTTTAATTTAACATTACCCCCTTCTCTTGTTTCACGTTCTTCAATAAGATCTATATTCCCAAATTCTGTCATTTTACGTCGGTTTACAACGTCCTAATAATTATAATATACATAAAATATCTGTATAACATAATGAAATTGTTTATTTTT